GCCCGCAGCAGCCCCCGAGCCAAGCACGCACTGCCCTGCATGCACCCCGGGGCTGCAGGAACACATGGAGAGCGCAAAGTGCCCCCTACAGGGTGCACGTGCATCCCTGCGTTACCGTCTCCAAACTCCCTCAATTTTTTTCTTCCCTCCTTTTTTTTTTCTGCCTGGAGCTGAAGCTGAAACAAAAAGGGCCAAAGAGCCACAACTGCTCTTGTTGTGGGCGCTCACGGGGAGTTATAGCCAAATCCCCCTAAACACCCCGAATAAAATAAAAACTACCCTTCAGGAACAAGAGCACAAGAAGAAAATCTCCAGGTGCTGCCAATTTGAGAAGCAGGAGCCAAAATCTATCCCGAAACAGTAAACTTGTTTAGAGTTAATTCCTTTTTTAAAATCCAGGAAGACCTGCTGGTCTTGTAGTGTGGCTGAAGAAGGTGATGTGGAAGCAGCAGAAAGCCTGTGGTCAAAAATCCCTGCTGTGGGCAGCTGAAAACTATCTGAAAAAAAAACTATATATCCGTTTTAATTTTGCCTGCAGTGCCTGGCCCTGGTTTGGTGCCTCCTGCAATTTTAGCACATCCAAGAGCTGTTTTCCCTCACTCAGTTATCATTCGTGTCATCAAGCCATTAATAAATCCATCTCTCAGGACCAGAAGAAGACAAGAAGGCTCACGGCAGCCCTAAGAGTCAGCAAACATCGGCTTTGGGAGCATCCAAGAGAGGATCAGATGTTACGAGCATCCTTCTGACAGCCCTTCTAAATGAGACCTGGTTTAGAGTCCAAAGATCCTGCATGTCCAAAGATGGAGCAAAAATGGCTCTGCCCAACATTAACAGTGTCAGAAGCCCATCTCTGTCTTCTCCTTGTCCATCCCTGGGGATTTCAGAGCGAGCCATTGCCTTCAGATCATGTTCACTGCTGCCCTAAGTGCTCACAAAAGAACAAAGGGAGAAGAACATTTTCAAAATTTTCAAGATGAAACTGTGAATGGAAACAAAGTCTTGCAGGAGATGGCTGATTTTTAACCTTTTTATCTAGGAAATGCATTTTGTACTGTAGCTGGAACAGCAGCCACAAGCCTGCAGCCTCTGGTCCTGCCACCCTCACTCCTTACCCACCTGGCTGTCCCTCCAAGCAAAGCAGAGGGCACATGCTCCTCTAAATGAAAGGCTTGAAAAACATGTAGGAGCAAGATATGGCACGTACCTCACCTGCAGACAACCTCTGCCCTCCGGCAGCACGTCCCACTGACTCTTCCCAGCTGATTTGTGGATGAAATGCCTGCCCCATTGAGCCAAAAACCCATAAAGGCAACAGCTCGGTAGAGGCTGAGCCGAGCAGATGAGGTCATGAACCTGTAAGGACTTGAGGAATTCTCCACCAAGCACCATCTCCTCGGTTCTCCATAAATTCATCCCCACTGCAAGCGTTGCAGGAAGCTCCAGCTCCTGCCACCAGCTCCATCCTTGCCCGTTTCCCATAGGATGGGTTGCTCGGCTCTGCAGCAGTACATTCCAGTATTTCTGACGTTGCCCCGGCCCTTTGGGTTTAATTAAATCAAAAACCAGCCAAGATGGCAACACTGGGTGAGCTGTTTCAAGGAAATCAGCCAATGCTTTGGGGGAACAGTTCTCCCTTTCTGGCATCACCTCTCCACAGCAGGACCGTTTGGCAGCCACATCCCTGCTCCCCACAGTGCAGAGAACACCGAGCATAAGCCCACCACCTCCATGCCTTGTCTCTCGATAACTTCTTTGTAGATTTTCATACAAAGCTACGGCTGTAGTGCTTTTGGTCTTTTGGGGCAAATCCAAGAAAAAGACTTGCCAGCACTCAGAGGAGCTGCAGGACACCGGGGACTTACGGGGTACGGAGGGTCAGGGGCTGGAGATGTAGGAAAGCACATGTGCAATCCCACCAAAGGCTTGAAAATCACAACCTATAGAGGTCTATTAACATCACCCCAATGCCTTCGTGCATGTCATTGTACAGATTTTCATTATGGGAGAGAGAGATAAAACTGGGGCAGGAATCCCCTCTTCCCAGGGGAGCATAAATCAACACATGTGAAGATCTCTGATGTTGCTGTAATTAGCACCATGGCAAAGCCCAGGCAGTAATTAACTTTCTCCCTTCTGAGTTAAGATTTAATAACATGCAGTAAAATAAGACCTGGGGCCATGAAACAAGCAGGGAAAAAACCCATCAAATTAGACACTTGTGACTCGATAAGGAATTAATTATACCCTGGTCTAATAATAATAATAATAATACATGAATTTTAATCTGCCCTTGTGCTCCAAGTGAGGGAGGATGAGCTGGGAAAAGGTACTTGAAACGTCCCGCATCAACTCCAAGGAGCAGGCTTTGCCAACCGGAGGCTCACACACAATAAGATGGGGCTGAGCTACTGCACCTGGCAGAGCTGGGAGAAAAAAATCTAGGACAAAAAATGCCTGGGCTTCCGGGGAGCTGTCTCAAACCTCTCATTCCTCTGTGATCCTAGCAGGGAATGGCTCTTCCCATGGGGAATTGGTGCTGCCAGCAGCCTCGAGCATCTTTCAGGGCAACTCCCAGGGTGTGCCAAGGGTGTGGGGATGAGAAGAGAGGGAGACTGTGGGCTGGAGGAGAGGCTGTGCCCTGCTGAAGGGGGAATAAACTGCAGCAATGGCAAGACCCAGTGATGGTCATGGTCCCCAAGGGTCTCTTGGGGATGCAAAGAGGTCCTCCCTCCCCTTGGCAGAGTCACTGCAGCACCCAACCCGAAGCAGTAAGTTCAGATGGAGATGGAGAGGCCAGAGTCAAGGGTGATCTGGGAGAACGTGGTGCGGCAGCATCCTCCTCTGCAGGACTCCGGCAGGGCACCCAAACCTCTCCCAGCTGCAGGCAAGTGCCAGGAGGAGCAGGACACTCTGGGGACTTGGTGTAAGAGGAACAAATCAATGCTAGAAAGGGAACAAGGAGGTTTAGAGGTGTTAAAGAGATTATTTTGAGAGCGTAGGCATGAACCAATCCAAACCTGATGCAGACTTAGCCCTGAATTGTGTCAGGCATCACCCAGTAAAGCTGAAGGCAGCAGTGTCTTCTTCGGCAGTGCATAAAGGGAGATGGGGCAGCGCCTGGGAAGGTCACTTGGAGCTGAGTGACTGCCTGGAACAAGCAAGCTCCCAGGAAGGTGAGTGACTGCTGCACCCAAGGCCATGCTGTGGGGAACAGAGGACACCACTCTTTCACCACTACCTCGGAAGTCAGGAGAGTCCAACCACAAACGTAGAGGGAGGTGGTGCTTCTTGGTGGAGCCCAACCGCAAGTGAATTTGCAGCTCAGCTCCACCAAGAGTCACCAGCTCTGCCCTTGGTGGGCCCAGACTCCAGGGTCACAATTCCCTTTACACAAATCATCTCTAACCCTCACACGTCGCCAGTGGAGGAGGAGGCTAAGACCAGCGTGCACGTGCAATGCCTTGAGCAGCATGTAAGGTGCTCATTGTCTTGGGAAGACCAACAAGTCATGGGAGGATCCGATCAGATCTGACATTACATGCCAGGATCCAATCTGGACGCCTCCTTCTCCACCAGTACATTCCCACCTCAGCTCCTTGCAGAGGAGCAGGTGAGCTCCTGGAGGAGCCCCGTGTGGCTGGGCAGAGAGAGGACATCTCCTCAGGAGCTCTGATCTTTGCCTCTCACCAGTTCTGGGCAGAAAAAAAGAGGCTGGTGATGTTCTATGAGCCCCACGGGCCTCCAAGTCTCCCTGGTAAAGCCAAAGGGATGTTTGCCATCCAGACAAGACACAGGGCCTGTCTCGAAGGTACATTTGAGATTAAGATTGATTTATTTTATTTTCTGCAGTGCTCTGGCACAGAGACATTCAGTGTCCCTGCATGTTCCTATCTCATCCTGGCAGCTCAACCACTTGACGCCAAGGGGAACACACAAGGACTGTGAAACACCCACCTTTTGGAGAGCACCTGAAGCCTACATGGCATTTTTGAGGATTCTCTTCCCAAAGAAGAGAGCTCCAGGTCACCCCATGTGCCAGACTCAGGGGTTAGGACCAGCTGGGACAGAGACCAGCAGATTTTGGTCACAACGGACCCTTCTGTGCCCGGTTTTGACTGCTTTTCCCAGGCCACAGAGCTTCCTAAATATGGGCATTTTAACAAGCGGCAAAATCCAGCCATGAAATCACTACCTGCCGCAGCTACTCACAGGGAGGTACACCAGAGCCGGACAGGTAGGATGTATTTATAGCATTATCACATTTGCCTGAAGCATTTTTGCTTTTTGCTCCAAGCCCTCTTGGAATTGACTCCACCTGATATTAGCCTCTCGCTACAGCTTGGCATAAATCAAAGAAATAAATTACTCAATTACTAGAAAATCCAGTAAGACTGAATGCAGAATTAGTCTTGTTAAAGCACAGAGCAAGTACTGGCAGCATCAGCATTTTTGTTTCTTGGTCTCTTTCCTTGCTCTGCTTTTGGCGGCATGCAGGCACTGCGCGTCCTCACACAGGGACTCTGCAAACAGGGTCCTGTATGGTCACTTGTGTCACTTGGTCAGGCCCTGGAAGTTGGGCTCTGTACACGGGGGCAGAGCTGCCTGACGGCTCAGCAGCTTATCCAGGATGTTTATTTCAGCATCTCGTCTCTCAATGTCCTCAAATGGAGTCCAGGACATGTCGTGCTGGAGCTTATAGGCACCGAGAAATTCATGGGGACTGGTACCCCATTCCTGGAGGAGAAAGGAGAGATTCACATTGCTGCTCAGTTTCCCTTGGAGCTGGGCTGTGCTGTCCCTCAGCCCGACCTCTGCCCATGCTGGATAGCCCTACCACCTTTGAAGCAGTCCCAGCTATGTGACCATCCCATTTTCTAACTTAAAAATAGGCTCAACTGCCCTGAGTCTAAGACCAGGTCAAAGTACAGTGCTGCTGATGCAGGGAGGCTTGGGGATACAAGATCTCGCTGACCTGCGCAGAGCTCCTCTATGTGCTCAGTGCTTTGCCCTGAAGCCTTCACCCTGCACCACATAAGAAAACAGGTGGCCTGGAAGGAGGATACCTATGAGACCACCCCTACCAAGCTGCAGACAAACTCACTCCCTGGACTGAAGGCCCTGAGAAGACCATACTGCCCAACAGCCACACCAGACAGGGCATGTCTGCAGTTCTTTACTTCAAGAGAAAGAACTGTAGGGACTGAAAGGCAGAATTCAGGTCCACACACCAAAGGTCTTCTTGCCCGCCATTCACCATGATCCAAGAGAACTTCATAATATGGCTCTTACGCCAGCAGGGTAACTCAGACCAAGGACAAACACCAACTGAGCAGGGGCCAACAAACACTCCCATCAAGTTAGTGCTTTTGTCTGAGGTCCAGAAGTGTCCAAGCACCAGAAACGTGGTTTTTTCCCCTCCCTGTTTCCTCAAGGGCTGTTACCACCCACCTTAGGAGAGAGGATGGAGAAGTATCGTTGGCCACTCTCCCGCCTGTACATGTAGTAAATGTTTCCTGGCTTCTTCACAAGGTTGCAGGCCACGTGGTGCAGATCAGCATCTCTGTTAGCTTCATCCAAGACCTAAAAAAAAAATTTAAAATTTCCACACTTGAAATAAAATGACAACAAGCTATTGCTTCTCAGCCAGAGCCCACGATATATCACTTGACACACCACTCGCAAAGCCTTGCCCTCTCCAGCGCACGTCTGGCTTCACACGGCACATCTTTACTAGCCCCTGGAAGGAGACGCTTTCCGAAGAGACAAAGTTTTCTCCAAGTTTCCCCTGTCAGCTGCACCTCAGAGCGCCTGCACCCTTCCACAGAGGTAGAAATACCTCCAAGCATCAAGGAGCTCTTCACCACAGCCCCAGGTTCACCTCTGTGCCTGACCCCACCACATGCTGGTCTCATTCCTCATGTCCATACACAGCTGCCGGACCCTGAGAGCTTCCCTGCTACAGTCACCAAGGGAAGGGAGAGCAAACAAAGGGGAGTTCATCTCCCCAGCTCCACCAGCTGATTGCTCCACAGCTCCGGCTCCACCAGTTAACGATTATATGACGTAGTAGCCTTGATGGCAGCAGGCCAGTCACAGTGACTGGCAGATCCTTTCCCACTCAGGCTCTGAGATTTCACCCCCAAGGGTGAAGGCTGAATCAAAGAGGAACAGCTGAGCCCTGCCGGGCTTGCTGCCAGGGCCACCTGCTCCAGCAAATGAGCTGGACAAACTGGAAAGCCAAGCCCATCATCAGGTAATAGCTCATCTCTCCCAGGGACTCAGATCCAGCCAGAGCCACATTGTCACCCCACTGCACCGAGTCCTCCCAGGAGCACAGCACACACACTAAAGAGACAGGAGTCATCTATCCCAAAACCAGAGTCATCTCGCTGTCCTTCCTGACACCTGAGCTGCTTTTGACTAGCCACCCTCACTCCTCCACCTTAACATAAGTCCTCCCCGATGTGCAGAGAACTCAGGGAAAACACCAACAACATCCTCCCCTGTCCCCAGCTCATACCAGACAATAAAGCCTTGTTATTTTCCCACTGAATCTTCTCTACTTGGCTTCTGGCCCTGATTCAAATCCAGGCCACAGCTCTCCCCAAGTGTCTGGCAGTTAAGACAGACACTAACCTCCCTCCCCTCACAAGCACATGGCAACAAGCTTTCTGCCCAGCTCGCAGACACATCCCCACCTTCCGAGCCTGTTCCTGCAAGTACCGGATTTGCTCAGCGATGACGGTCAATTTATTGCAGGCGTTTGCTCGGATGAAGTCATCTGCCTGCAAGGAAGAATGACATTTGGTCAGGACAGGAAAGTGCCCTTCGGACCTTGCCATGCTGGCTACGCGCTGGAGAAGTTGCAGTTGTGGCCTCACTCGAGGCTTTAACGGGGCTGTGGGTGGTGCAGGAGCTGCCCTGCATGCGGTTGGGGGTAGCTGTGGCACTCTCGAGTGGTGGGGTGACAGCCATGGAGCAGGGACCAGGCACTGGGGGTGCCTGGCCATGCTGGGTTACAGTGGAAGGGGGAAGCAGGACATACTGGGAAGCACTGGGGTAGACCAAGACATGGTGGGATGCACTGGGAGGAGGCAGTAGGACTTCTAGGGAAGCACTTAGGTGAACGGGGTGGACTGAGAAGCACTGGGAGACATACTGGACTAGGACATAGTATTGGAAAGCAGTAGGATGTGCTAGGAGGCACTGGGAGGGGATAGTAGAACATACTGTGCGGCACTGGAGTGAGCTGAGGCACTAGGAAGTGCAGTAGGACCTATCATGATGAACTGGGGTGAACTGAGAGGCACTGGGATGGACTGGGACTCAGAGAAGGGGTAATATGAAATATCAGGAAGTGCTGGGATCGACTGGGGGAGTTGGCAGTAGGATGTGCCTGCATACACTGGGGTGGCTAAAGGCAGTGGGATGTACTGGGAGGCAGTAGGGCATACTGGGATGTTCTGGGAGTCACTAGGGGACAGGAAGACACAGCGGGAGGCACTGAGGTGAGATGAGAGGTGCTGAAGACACAGTATGGCCCAGTGCGGAACACGGGAAGGTCCTGGAGAGCACTGGAAGGCACACGGGGGTACCAGGGCATCCCGAGAAGGGATACCGGTACACGGTGGGAAGCATCACAGACCCT